TTCATTAGATCTGCGGCATGAATGGCGTTATCAAGGGCCGCACGCGCAATGAGGAGAGAGCCAACAACCATCAAGCTCCTTTCCCCTCTCACCTGCATGGCCGCGCTGTGGTCCGCCAGTGGGACGGCCCGGAAGCCGCCGCTGTTGGAGCTGTTGCCGCAGAGCACCATCCTGCCAAGTTAGCCCGCATCCCTCTTGCCGTCGGCAGCGTCGACTTTCTGATAGACAAGAAGCGCCTCGGCAAAGGATGGGACGAGATCTTGACCAATGCCGACCGAGCTGAGCAGGACACCTTTGCTGTCCTCAACGACTGCAGCAGCAGGATGCACTCCTTCCTCATCAAGAAGCGTCTTCCCGCCAACAACTACGTTTCTATTCTGCCTAAGACCACCAGGAGTGACGGCATCCAGGAGCATGGGATGGTGCGGCGTGAGTCCATCTCCTGTTCACGTCGGATAGCCATCCAGACCATCGGCTGGATGGATGAGAAGATGCGCCCCAGCACCAGACACGGGCCGGTGGGTGGGGAGGGCGGTCTCCGCATCGAGCGGCGGGAGAGCAAATACCATCCGACTCCGCCCATGAGTGAGGATCGTTTCCGGGCGGTGTTCGGCCAGCAGGCCCAGGCTGGCGAGATCCCTGGGTGGGTGCTGTACAGCATCAGGGGGGGGGGGATGGAGGGGGAGGACGCGTTGGCGGTGGTCGGCAGGCTGTTCGGCGCGGCGTGGATGGCGGATGGACGGGTGCGCAAAGTCCAAGGCGGGAGCTATTGCAAGGTGCATTCTCCGATGGAATAGAAGCACGGCATTCATGTGCGTGTTCAAATGCATCTCTATCACATTTGCAACGTACCTCCTTCAGTGCGACCAGCGAGGACCGGCATGAGGTTGACAGGCAGTTTGAGTCTGTCACACAGCGCTGCAAAACAGCAAACATATGATATTGTACCAGCATCTGGCGGGACTCACTTTGAAGTCTTCGGATAACACGAAGTGCATCTGACCGCTTCCCAGGATTGGCCTTGATTCACGCGCGCACCATCTTGTAGGATGTGGTGCGGAGACATATGAGCGCCCAAGTGCCGGACCTCAGGATGATATGCAAGATGTTTGGAGGGTAGTTCGAAAGCGGGACGCTCGTGAGCAATGGTTGCGAATCTGCCCACGACGCTTAAGATTGCATTTCGTCCTGTGCTTGTGGCGGTCTGCGTGTGGGCAATTACACGCCAGGACCTCAGAGGCCCTCTGAGTCATCATCACCACATTCCGTGTTGGCCCTCTCAGCTCCTCCACATTGCGGCGCTCGATTAGAGACCCCAACCAGTATGTAGTCATGAAGCCGCTGTTGAAGTGCTTCACATTTGCATAGCACCGCTGGCAAGGATTGGCGGCCGCAGACCCGGCGAGACCAAGAATCAGTCCGATCCATTTCTGAGACGACACAATAAGACCAGAGACATATCAACTATGTCCGTGTCTCCCGCACCTGGTCACCCAAGATAAAGACATTGAATTTGACCGTCCACAGTTTCCCTTGAATGTAAGCCTGAAATCCGCGCTGTAGGAGCATGATGTCTTTGTCCAGCCGCTTCATCCATGGCTTGAGTCTGTCATAGTTTTCCGTCCCGTTCAGCAAAGCAAAGACAAACAGTGAGTGGGAAGAATGGGATGAAAATAAGGGCCCGGTGTCGCTGATGTGTTCAGTGACGACGCGTGCGGCAAGAGTGACTGCTTGCTTGTTCTGTCGCATCCTCATTAGTTGGCTGCCGTCACCAGATATGCAAAGTGAGAGAGTGATCTCTCCTTGACCCGTGGTACATTTCTTCTCTCTCCTCAAATTCACCCGCCACACATCTAACATAACAGCTGGGTGCGTCTTCACAAGCCATTTGAAGAGGTAATATGGACTCGCATACGTGGAAGAGAAGTGCTCATTGGGGCTGCGGTCCACACGGGCATAGGGAAGGTCAGCCCTCACGTCATCCAAATTCGGGAGATACTCCTCTTCCATCCTCGGCAGGTAGCGTGCCCTCTCCTCTTGGACGCTCGTCTTCGACGGGACGATTTGTGGTTTGTTAGAATCCTTCACCCACCGAGACATCCCAACCCGTCTCTTGTTGGTGATCAGATTCTTCATCACTTGTAGTCGGGGCCACCCGATGTGCAGCTTCATTTGCAGGGCGCGCCACAATGACTCGTCGATCTTCCAGTAGGTCTCAGCGAACTTCTTGCTTAGCCATAAGAGGGCTTTGTGGATGGTCACGGTATGACGTGAATCCTCTCCCAAGCGACCCACTCTCTGAAGAAATCGAATCCACAGACCTCTCAACACAGCCGCGATAATAGGGGTGGGCCAGATGAATAGAAAAAGGACTATCAAATGCACTACGACAGCTTGGACTGCACTTAGTGTCATGTCAGTACCGCCATACTCCCATCCTTGTGGACGCTGCGACCCCTTTGGATCAGCCATCCATAGAAGCGCGTCGACCGCCACCTGAGCCCATTTCCGTCGGCGACGATTTCCAGGGTCGTCTGGATGATCAGGATAAGAGTCGAGAGTCTTGGCAGTTTCCACAAGGGGAACCTCGGCGCTGGTGGTCACTCGAAGCTGCCTCCACTTCTTCCCCCCACCCTGCCTCCCACCTCCACCCATCTGCTTCTCCCAAATGTCAACTTGGTGGAATCCACCAGCTTTGGAGTCGAGTGCGTAGTTGGTCCGCCGCTTCAGCTCCCATCCTTCCTCTTCATTTGCGTCTTGGTATGGATTATCGAGTTGCTTCTTTTTCTCTCGTGCGTCTTCATCTCGTGACTCATCGGGGTCCCGTCCCAGATGGCCTGCGTCCTCCTCAGGCTCCTCGACTAACTCTGAATTATCACCTGCCCCGACGTCCTCCTCAGCATCAAGAAATGAATCGAGTTCATCGTCCACTTCGACGCCTCTAACATTTCGCAGAGGCAAAGGGTGTCTGGGAAGGGGGGCACCTTTGGATGATGGTGGGGTGGGAAAGGGGCTGTCCACCTCTTCGTCAGAAGAGAAACGGTCAAACGGGGGAATTCCACCAGAGGCCATCTCTTCCTCATGATCCAGCGATCGGCCAGCAAAGGATTGTGCAGGAGCGGCGGCGGCGGCGGCGGCTGCTGCGGCGGCTGGTGGGACTACGGCTCTCTGCTTTTCTTCCTCCTCAATCCCGTCTTCCTCCTCCCATTGCAGGCCCCGTCCTGCTTGAGGCGGAGTTGGTGATAGCTGCATTGGGACGGGGGCCAGTGGAGATATGTGGCGCCGTCGGCGACCTCGAGACCTTTCTCCAAACCCAGCAAGGGGGAATTTGTCATCTGGAATGCCGCGGATGTAGGAGGAGAAGCGAGCCCGCCTCTCTAATATATATCCAGCCAGGCCCAGCTGATCAAGGTCTTCATACACGTGATGGCCACACCCCCATGATTGAGTTGGTGATTTCTCGGCTGTTTCTCCTCCTTTTCGGATGAGCGAGCGTGTATCGGACTACACCCAACCCCCTCCACCT